GAGGCAGTGAGATCTGAGTTTGAGGCCAGCCTGGTCTCTATAGTGAGTTCCAGGCCAGCTGTGGCTACAGGGAGACCTGTTTCAAAAAGACCAAGAAAAAAAAAAAAAAAAGTTATCCTAAAAGAACACCTTCAAACTTTAATAGATGCTTGGGGTTTGGTTGGTTTGTTTTTTGTTGTTATTGTTGCTTTTCTATTTTGTTTTTTACTTAGTATGATCTTCGAATAATTAAGCTTCTATTAGAAATAAATCTTGAAGCTAGGCATGGTAGCTTATATGTGTAATCCTAGCACTTGGGAGATAGGAGGATTGCTGCAAGTTCAAGAACCACTTGAGCTACATGGCAAGACCCTGTCTCAAAAAACAAAGGGGAAGGGACTAGAGAGATGGCTCAGTGGTTAAGAACACCAGCTGCTCTTCCAGAGGACCCAAGTTCAGTTCCCAGCACCCAGATTGGGTAGCTCATAGTTGTCTTTAACTTCAGCTCCAGGGGATCCAATGCCCTCTTCTGGCCTCCATGGGCACCCCCCCACACATGTGGCATACATATATACACATATAAATAAAAATAAATAAATCTCTTTAAAAAGGGGGAAACAGAAAAAAAATCAGTCTTTTTTAAAATATTTATTATTTTTATGTATATGAGTTTTATGCCTGCATATGTAGGTAAGTGCATCTGTCATACAATGCCCTCAGAGGACGGAAGAGGCTGTCAGATCCCCTGGAACTGGAGTTACGCACAGTTATTAGCTGCCATGTGAGTGCTGGGATTCGAACCTGGGTCTTCTGCAAGAACAGTCAGTGTTCTTAACCATGGAACAATCTCTCCAGCCCCCAAAATCAGTCTTAATTACTAATACTCTGCAATCTAACAGATTCCTTTATTTAATGAAGTGAAAAATATTTTAAAAGCTTAGCATTTCACTTAAATTTCATGTGTTTAATTTCTATCTTATAATGTCACATTTACTTGAAAATATGGAACAGTCTTAGGAATTTCTTCTAGTCCCTTGTGGAGAGTTCTTGAAAGCCAACAGTGTTAATACCCTTGGGAAGATCAAGAAATGCAGGTTCTTAGGTCTTACCACAGATTCACGGTTTGGGTTAGTAATCACCGTATAAGCCACCTCCACCTTAGTGGTTTCTAATGATGATCACTGTCAAGAATTCTTTAGGGTCAGGGATTCAGGCTGGGCAGCTCTTCTGTCTACAGATGAACAGAGTTCTCTAATTGGCATTGCAGCTAATGGCTGAGCTAGGTAGATTTTACTTCCTGTGTGCTTCACTTGGGCTTATTAATGGCAGGTGGCCTCACACCAGTAGGCTGCTCAAGTAGAGGCTTTTGCACAGGCACTCACATAGCACTACTTCTGCCCCACATTATCATATTCAATATGAATGTTTTAATTTCATAGGAATTTTGAAGAGGTTGTAAATTAGAGTCTAAAATAATTGCCCACTTTAAAACTAATAAAATTCAGGCTGAGAATGTAGCTCAGTGGTAGAACACTTGCCTGGCATGCACAAGGCCATAGGTTAGATCCCCAACATTACAAAAATAATAGTTACAAAATTTTCTTTTTTTCTATGTCAAAGATGTTTACTATAAGGCCCAGGTGTCTTCTGAAAGTTTTAAGATACTGGTCTAGGTCAGGTGTCGTAGTGCATGCTTTTAATCTCAGCACTCGGAAGGCAGAGGCAGGTGGATCTCTGAGTTCAAGGCCAGCCTGATCTACAAAGCAAGTTCCAGGCCAGCTGGAACTACAGGGAAACCCTATCTCAAAAAGACCAAAAAAAAAAAAAAAAAAAAAAAAAAAAGATAGAGGCCTAATATGTTTAGCCTTCATTTTATAAGCCTCAGAATAGGTCAATAGAGCTACAAATTTAATAATTCCCTTACTGAGAACCAAGGATTGTTTTCCTTATGTCTGAGGACACTAAGATCAGAATCATTCACCAGGAAGCTCAAAGAGTTATTGAATTTGTTTCTTTGCTTTGTACAGGTAATTGAGAGAAAATAAAATTACATTAAAAGTATAATAAAAAGCCAGGCTTGGTGATACACACCTTTAATCCCAGCATTCAGGAGGCATAGTTAAGCAGATCTCTGTGAGATCCATGCCAGCCTGGTCTCCATGGTGATTTCCAGGGAAACCCCATCTCAAATAACCAAAATTAACTAGCTAATTATTTAATTAAGAATAGTAAAAGTCAGGGCTGGGAAGATGTCTCAGTAGTGGCTAACAACTATCTATAACTCCAGTTCCATTGGAATCCAGCACCTTCTTTTGACCTCTTAGGGCATTGCACAACATGGGTGCACTTACACACATGCAGGCAGTTCACTCATACACATTTTGAAAAAAGAGATGTGCTTGACAGGAGTGGCATCAAGAGAACTTTATCCTCTTCCTTTGTATTTGTGTATCTGTGCATGCTAGCTAGAATCGTTTGTACAGTGATGGGTGGCTTGGTTTGGTTTAGGAGTTTTTTTGTTGGGTTGTTTTTTTGTTTTTTTTTGGTTTTTTTTTTTTTTGGTTTTTTTTTTTTTTTTTGACCCAGGGTCTCACTGTGTAGATCAGGCTGGCCTTAAACTCACAGAGACCCACCTGCCTCTGCCTCCCAAGTACTGGGATTAAAAGTATACACCACTACACCCAGCCTCGAGACAAGGTTTCTTGTAACTCAGCCTGGCTCTAAAGTCCTGGACCCCCAAGTGTTGAGACTGTAGGCACATCTCATTGAATCGAGCTGCTGTGTTTTTATGTGAGATTATTCTTTATTCTGTATTCAACAGATTTTAAGCAAGGGAATAATTAAACGTGTGTGTGTGTGTGTGTGAGTGAGTGAGTGATATGTGTACATTTGCTCCTAGGATCATACTTAAAGCCTCACACATGCTAGGTTGAGCACTTAACTACTGAGCTACTCCAGCCCAATTCTTTGCTTTTTGTTTTGTTTTGTTTCTTACTGTTTTTTTCATGTTATGAGTGTTTTGCTTGCATAAGTAAGTTGATTCTTTGTTTTAATATAGAAACTTAAGTATTTTATACTGGCTGCCATTTGGAATCTGTTGGCTTTAAGAATCTTGATTTTGTTTTGTTTTTTTAAGGAGGTTTCACAATAATTAGTCTTTTGTTGTTGTTTTTTTTTTTGTTTTTTGTTTTTTTTCTGAACAGAGGGCACATCCTCTTTGTCTAATCCTAAATGGAGTATCACAAGAGTAAATTCTCACTAGTGCTCTAACATTGCCTTCACGAGGAAATGGACTTTTTAGAGGTTCTTGGAAAGAAAACAATGCTAAAACAATCTCAAACCATAGTAGCTGTGGCCCCTGATTTCAGTCTCAAGTTCTGCTGTTTCAGATTTTATAGTTATTATTTTGCAAATGGCCAGATTCATTAGTACAGTGTCGCATTTTTACATAGATAATATTAAATGTTAAAAAATTATACATTTACTTTTAAATCATGTGATTCATGCACATCCAAATCAGGTGCTTTTATAAGAAAGGTTTCTAGGACCAAAACTAACCCAGAAGCAACTAGGTTATAAGTGTGTGCTATAAAACTTTATTTTTCTTTCCTCCTCAGGTTCTCCTCCATTTCCCAGTATGAGCGCTTTTACATCATTAAGATGAGTTGAATATAGATCTCACTTAATGTTCTTCCTAAGGGATAAGGATGTAGACTTATAAGCAGGACAAGACTAATCATCTTAGCCTTACACTGCGGGTCCCATAGGTAAGGTCTAGCAAGTCCTCCACATGCCATTACTCAGACCTCTCTGACTCTCTCTTCTTTCCAATTGAGACTCCAGGGTACTCAAGATGCATCAGGCCTGCAGTACATGCTCTAAGCCCATAGGGAATAGGCATCTTATCCAGCATTGGTTGCTACCCATTCCTCTCTGGCTTATCTAGTGTTAGTGATAATCATCCCTCAACATCTCAAGTTAGAATTCTGACAATAATTTCTGTCCAAGTGGGATCAAACCAGATTTAGAAGTCTTGAAAGTGTTTAGTTGGATATTTTGCATTTAGACTAACCTGTTACCTATTACTGTAATTTGTTTATTAATCTGCTTTTCCCATTATTATATCTGACATACATACATAAATATGTAATTAGGAAATTATTTGAACATAGCTATGTTTTTATTGCCTACCAGTGGTGAGCACTATTCAGCGTAATTGAAAGTGGTCAGGTTTAACAAATGGACTTGCAATGTCTAACATATAAAAAAAGTACGTAAAATTTTCTATTAAGCAGGAATAAATTGCTACTCCAGAAAACTAGACCACAGATTCTGTTTCACTGCCTCCTTGAAGTCCAACATTATTTTCCATTAAACAGACACCTTCAAGAGAAGCCCTCTAGCATAGATTTGTGTAGAAGTTATGAAATAATCATTGCTTTCCAGTTGAGAGAGGGGGTGTTACTTTGATTGATAAGCAACCTAATTTTTGAATGTCTTTATAGCAGTTAAAGCTATTTTCTCTGTACATGGAAATTTGTTTTAACTGTGCAGTGAGAAATTCAAAGTCCTTAGAATACTTACCTAATTTGTGTTTGAATTAGATAATTCTAAGACAACCGACTCTCTTAGTTTATGTAAGAATGAGGTCTATTAGAAAGAACTGGTTCCCCACTTTCTGAAGTTTAATTTGCAGCTCATCACTTGGAAATAGCAGTAGCCTATTTTTAGAATAAATTATATACACTAATAATAACATTAGATTGGGTCAGGCTTATAGTTAAGTAGAATGTAAGTCTCCAAGACTGGTTAATTAGGAATAACTACTTGAATTTCCAAATACATACACAAATGCTCTTCAAGAAATTTCCTCAGTTTTATAAAACTAGACTGTATATCATTTTCAGGAACACTTATATAGAGATTGGGCCTCCTGTGCCTCTTGGGTAAGATCGCCAAGTATTTTTATTCAATAGAAAAAGAAACTGAAATTTATTAATCTCTCTTTCTCTCTCTGCTAGATTTAGAAATGGCTGTTGCATATTGGAAACTAGTATTGTCTGGAAGGTTTAAATTTTTAGATCTTTGGAACACATTTCTGCTGGTAAGTGTTGGTTTCTTGCTTTGTGTGCCCAATCAGAAAATGAAGTCTTTCTGATTTAAAATGGGGACTGGAGAAATGGTTAAGCAGTTAAAAGCACTGGCTGTTCTTGCAGAAAACTCACATTGCACCTATATGGCAGTTAACAACTATCCATAACTGTAGTCCCAGGGGAACCAATGCCATCTTCTGGCCTCCATGGACATTGCATGCTTGTGGTATACTACATAAATGCAGGCAAAACAGTCATACACAAAAAATAAAATATAGCCCTACACAGAGATACTCAGATACCAGGTGAGAAGCTGCACAGATCTGCCACCTTGCAGAATGCCACCTTGCAGAGCCCCAGGTGGGCACTGCTCTGAGGTTATCTTGTAGAGGCCACTTTTTCTAGAATATTCTTTCTCAATCATCTTCAAACCTCAGCAGCCCTTAACCTGCTATCTCCTCTGAAGACCCCCTAAACTCAGTAATTCTGCTGAGAAAGTACCAGGATCACACTCGCTACAAATTGATATCAGCTGTAGAATGTGGGTCAGATCTTGTTGTCTATAGATACCCTGGCCATCATATGTGAGTCTATAGTATAACACCATTTTTAAATGTATTCTACAACAATGCAGGATGGACAGGAGGCTCTAGTGGTATATGTTAAATATAGGCTGCCATGTGGTAGGCACTGTGGCTATGTTGGACCCTGTCTTGTAAAAACAGCCAGTGTAGCTATGGGCTGTCTGAAGTGAGTGTGATGCAAGGACATTTCCTGACTCCAGAAAGTACAGTCCTAGGATGCCTAGACCTCCCGCACTGTCATGACCTTGAAAGAAGGCCATCCTTCCCACAGCTCCCCTGTGGCCTGGCTGGGGAACACCCCTTCTGTGCCCCATTTGTGACTCCAGAAAGTATGTACTCTGGTGGCCTTGAGCATGATCCTTCTGTGTGCTTAAGTTTCTTCATGTAGTGATAGCGCTCATAGAGCATGGCCTGTGGAGGGCATGAATTTAGAGAGGAGGCCATGAGATTCCCTCTGCGGGCCTTGGGAAGGGTTTCATGTCAAGGAGTTCATTACATCATGTGTCACATTATTTGCTATAGAATGTTCAGAGGCTGATAAAGCTCTACCCAAGACCTCTTTTACCTTTTTTTTTTAAGCTTTTTTTTACCAGTTCACTTTTGGTTTTGGACATGGTCACATTGAATTGCCCAGTTAGGTCTTGAACATGAGTTTCTCCTGCCTCAGTTCCCCCTGCCTCAAAGAGCTGGCATTGCTGGCTGTGTCACCAAACTCTCTTACTCTATAGGGATTACACCTAGACTACAGACCTCCAGAGAACCCTGCAGCCATATGCACAGAAGCAAGAAGGTGCCACACATCATGGGGACAGAAAAACATAGACAGTGTCCACTGATTGGGGAACTGATAATGGAAATGAGAATATTCAGGCAATAAAACACGACTACAAAGCAGTGAAAATAAATGAAGTTAGATTGGCATCTCAGTTGGATACTTTTAAAACCTAATTTTGGGGGCGGGAAACACAAATTATAGAAATTACCTACAATCTTGTAGCAGTTGATGTTTTAAGATATAAAACTGTAGGGCTGGAGAGATGGCTCAGCAGTTAAGAACACTGACTGTTCTTACAGAAGACTGGGTTCAAATCCCGGCACCCACATGGCAGCTAACAACTGTCCGTAACTCCATTTCTAGAGGATCTGACAACCTCTTCTGACCTCCATGGGCATTGCATGACACGGTTGCACTTACCTACATGCAGGCAATACACGTATACACATAAAATAAAAATAATAAATAAATTTTAAAAAAAGATATAAAACTAGTCCTGATGAAATGACCCAGCAGGTAAGGACATTTGCCATTGCACCAAGTCTGACAACTTGAGTGCAATTCTTTGAACCCACATGATAGAACTGACTCCCATAAATTGTCCTCTGACCTACATACACACTATACACACACATACACATACACACACACACACACACACACACACACACACACACACACACAATTAATTTAAAAAGACAAAAAATAGCTGGGCATGGTGGCACACGCCTATGGTCCCAGCACTTGGGAGGCAGAGGCAGGCGGTTCTCTGTGAGTTCAAGGCCAGCCTGGTCTACATAGTGAGTTCCAGAACAGCTGGGGCTACAGGGAGACCCTGCTTAAAAAAAAAAAAAAAAAAAAAAGACAAATATATACATGTATGTATCAAGCTTAGAAGCTGCTTATGGCTTTACATGTGTATTAACATGTAAAAGTTGACATGATGAAGGCAAGTTCAAGGGAATGAGTGCTTCTCCAGAAGATGAGGGGAAAGTCAGCCAAGAGAGTAGCACTAGGGGCCCAGTTTCACCTCAGAGATTTGCCTCTTTGGGACACAGGCATTGCATTAGTCTCCATGTTTTTATATATCTGTATTATCGAATAACAAAGATATTTTTAGATACTTATCCCATGGCATTCAAGAAATACCTGGTATACAAGAAGAAATAGATGCAAGGAAAGAAGATAAATGGAAATATGACTCCACACTGTCATGCATTGTTTCTGAACAGATGTGGGGTGGGAGGAGGTAAAAAGAGATTTAAAGCCTGGCCTTCTAGTTGACCAAAACAGGAGTATATAATAATAGTATTTAATTTTTTCAAGTAAGTCAACATTCTTTATTTGGACTTTGGCACTGTTACTATAACTCATACTATTTATATAAGGTGCTGTTATTACTCTTATCTGTGATATTTTTGATTACTACTCATCAAGTTAAGAAGGATCACTTATTAGTGGAGTGTGCCCCAACCACTAGAATATCTGAGAGTTAAGATCTGAACCTTAACCTGGTGGATGTTTTTCTCTTATGTATTAGGAGCATCACAAAAGATCAATTCCAAGGGATACTTGGAACCTTCTGCTAGATTTTGGAAACATGATTGCAGATGATTTGTCTAACTACGATGAAGAAGGTACTAGAAGCTATATGACTTAAGAGGGTCACTAAAGATGCTCATACCTCCTGTGGATGCTAACTAGCTACCTCCAGGGAGAGGGGGCAGACACTGAGCCAAACAGGGCTACCCACCCATAGGGTTGGGGACATTATACCCATTTCCATGTCAGTTCCTGTAACCACATAAAATATGCTTAGGATGACTTGGAGATGCTTACATAAATGTATACCTGATTTCCTCCCAACACTTGAAGACCCCACATCAGAGACATCTAAGGTCCTCCTTTGCAGTAGCACTGTTCCCTGGGAGAGGGGGCTGGTCCTATGTGGATGGTCTCCCCACCCCCAGATACAGCTGGCTTGGACTTTCTCTGGGACATCCTCACTCTTCCTGTCTTGGGGTTGTTTTACTGTCGCTGACAGCATTCAGTTCATGTTGTGCCCCTCACTGGTCAGCTCATCTGTGTCCTCTATACTTAGCACAATAACCAGCTAATAACAGACACTTAGTGAAAGCTTTCTGTGAAAGACAGAATACTTACATGTAGACAACTTGGTTTGTAGGATCCATAGTTGTTAGTAAGACTAATCTGTCTACCAGAAGAATGTGAGAGGCAGTAAGTGCCAGCACAGTGGAGGAGCCATGTGAGCCATGGAACTCTGCACTGGGTAGATCTGGGGTCTCTGTTAAGGAGACAGGGCAAGGATGCCCATGACTGGAGAGACAGCTTCTTGAATCCCAGGAACCAATAGGTCCACTTATTTCCGTTTCCAGTCAGTAGGTCTGACTGCCTAGAGGCTGGCTGAGGCCTGAGAGGCTACAGTGGGGGCTCAGTCAGTGAGAGTATGGTCTGTTCCCAAGGCCCTGACACCAGCCACTCACTCACTGCCTCCTGGAGCAGAAGAACTGGGTGACTTCAGCTAGTCATTTGGTGAAACACAGCCGTATAAGGTTCAAATCATTTTAGTTCTTTAAATGTTAGAATCAGGGAAACAATTTTTTGAATATAAAAAGGCAGGTATAAAATTTTTTTAAAAAATCTATTTGTTTTCCTTTAGGAGCATGGCCCGTACTTATAGATGATTTTGTTGAATATGCACGACCAGTAGTCACAGGTGGGAAGCGTGGCCCTTTCTAGATGGAAAAGTCGGATGGATGGAGAGTAACATGTTTTACATCCTGCAAGGAGACAGCTGTGTGCATTTGTTGCTGACAGAAGTTCTCCTTGTCCATTTATGAAATGAGAATCCTTACTGTGCTTAAAGGCTGCAGTGGCTGGTGTGTGGACACTTGAGAAGCTCCTCAGAGGAGAGTTGCCTCAGGGTGTTAGGGATGCATCGTCAAAGCTATTGCTTTAGGAGACTCCTGCATGACTTACCTTTACAGAAAGCAACATAGAGCCTGTTTGCAAGGCTGCAAAGCATGCTGTTCAGTTCATGGTTTTAAGGTGAGCACCAGCAGTTACCAAAACTGCCGAATCATATTGTAATTATACTTCAGAAACAGTGTCTGTGTCTTCAGGAGGATATTTTATTTTTATACAAGTCAAATTGTTAAAAATGTGCCCTAATGAAGATGGCCTTGTCAGAGAGCCCAGTGTTTTTTAATCTTGGTGCCAGGTGTTCAAGATGACTAGTTTTTGAATTATCAGATCTCTAGATTTGCTAGCTGTTTTGTTTCGTTCTCTCTAGATGTTTGAAGACATCGTTACAGTTTGCACAGCGATGGTATATGTAGGATGCTATTCCAGCAGTTCTATCTCAAACTGTTTACAAACTGGTGGGCCTGTTTTTTACTTCTAATAAGGTTATTATTAGGCCTGGATGCTGCCTACTAAAAAGTTTATTATTTTTTTAAGATATTTTATTATATTTAAATGGAAATTTTTCCATGAAAAATAATTTCTTTTTGAGTAATGAATTAGACTTACAAATCAAATGCACTGATTCTCCTTACCTATCTATAATATCATCAGTGTCCAGCCCTTGGATAGCCATATGCATTTAGAAGAAAAACCATTTATCATTGTCCAAAAATAATCCACATACAAAGCCTCCATCTCATTTGTAAGCCACATTCTGTCTGCATCCTGTCACTGCACCATGTCACTATGTTGTGTTACCACCCGCTTTTCCGATGTTTGCCTGGTCAAGATCTGCTCATGTCCACAGGCATGGAAGGCCTGGATACTGCCTGCTCATCTGGTGTCAAGCTTTGAACATCACTGTGCTGACCCTACCTCACATTTGCCAAGACTTGGCATCACAAGTGTGCCTTGCTGCCTTGCCCGGCCATGGCGCAGATATGCTGGACCCACTTCAGGACAGTGGTGTGTTCAATACCTATATATAGAAAGCATATTCCAAATGTGCTGTTCAGGCAGCTTCTGATATGGGGCATTCTCCTGATTTAGGAAACAGCTGTGAGGCATGTGTGCCCTGCAACAAGATGGACTCTACATGTTGAACAGGAATCTCACAGAGGTGGAGGAGGATTAGAACAGGAGACCAGATTCCACAGGGCTAACCCCTCACTGTGTGAGAACATCACTAGTAATCCATAAGGGCAAGCCATGCAACCTTTCTCTGTTTCAGGTCTGTAAAAGGGAAAACTGGGACATCTCCTTTGAGCTCTGATTCAGAGTGTTATTTAATATAACGAAGACTGGCTTTAATAAAAACCTAGAAAGCAAAGTGTTCTTACAACCTTTGTGGATCCTTGATATGTAGTTAACTTCTGTTCAGAGAAGTTTATAGAATTCAGATGATTATAAATTATAGATACATTCTTATTTTTAAGATATAAAATTCTACAGAGAGCCAGCAAGATGGCTCAGCAGGTTAAGGCACTTGCCACCAAGCCTGAAAACATGAGTTCCATCCCTAAGACCCACACAGTGGAAGGAGAGAACTGACTCCCTTGAGTTGTCCTCTGACCTCCACATGTGCATCATGGCATGCGTAGACCCATACACATACATACATAAAGAAATAAATGTAATTTTAAAAATTTAAAATTCTATGGGATTGTCAATAGGTTGTGAAATACTAATAATTGGATAAAGGCTTTTCAAAGAATTGTGCTTTCTGTTTCTTCTGTTATTTACACTTGGGTTGTGCATGCTACAAAACTGCTGGAAACTTCAGAAACCATAAATAAAGTATTTTTCCTGGTGTTGCAGTTTCCTTTATTCTTGGTTGCACAAATACTACCTGTGCACATCAAGCCCCTACTGTTTGTCAGAGGAAAACAAAAAGTCCCCTTTGTAGCAACCAGCGAGCAAACCCTTGCCACATTGCATCTGACACCCCAGCAGATAAATGAGCATGTTGGAGGCAGACAGGTTCCTTTCCCAGTACATAATATGCTAGACATGTATGAGTTGTATATCAGAATGTACTGATACAGCTATGATATGTTTGAAACAAATTTGCCAAAACACAAGAGGTTTAGGAAATGCATATGATCTTTTCTTTTATAGATTACTTGCCAGGAATTTCTAGAATAGACATTGTCATCTCTAAGTGACATACTCAGTGTTGTGTTGTTAAATACATTTCAAACTTTATGCTCTAAAGGGACAAAAGTAAACATTCCTCCAGCTTTTGTTGATATATCTACCATTCCTGTCAAAGTGGTGGCTCTGTCAATACTTGTCACATGGACAAACTAGTGAGAATCATCTTATTTGTGGTATAGACCAGATAGTATGGAAATTGTTCCCCAGCATCTTTGAAAAAGTTCCTGTGAGTCAAATCAGCCTTGGACTTGCTCCATGGACAGTTGAGACACTTTTGTTGTGCTATTCTACCTGAAGTGGGTATCTGTCTCTCCTGCCAGTTTCTGGTTGCTGTCTTGTCTTGGATTTGGATAGGAAATGTATACCTTCTGGTTTTGAAGGACTGTACCAAGATGCTAGAATTGTGCTAGCTGGAAGAAACTTCCGGAACCTCGTTTAACAAGAGCTAGTGATGCAATGTATACTTGTTTAAGGGTGTCTTACTCCATAGTAAAGTTCTTACCAAGGGTGTTTCTTAAGTCCAGGTGAGCCCTTCCAGTTCTGGGTTTGACAGGCCTGGTCCCAGGAGGGCTGCCTGATGTCTTTCCCTACAGGGGTTGTGATTGAGGCATCTGATGTGGAGGTGGCCATCTTAGTTCATTTCAAGTAAGAGCTGGGTTTTACAAATTGTGCTCTACCTCAGCCTCATATTTGTTAATGTTTTCATAAGCAGGCAAGGACTTTTCAGCACATGAAGCTTAAGGTGGTGTGGCCAGTTTCCCACTTTGCATTTGCTGAGGTGCCTCTTCATCACTCTAGCATTGAAGCCTTTTATTGGACTATGAGAAAAAAAATTTTTTAATGTTTCCTATCATAGCAGTTTATTCTTTGTGTGTATGGTGCTGAGGATCAAACCAAGGGGCTCAAATACCCTACCTAATTGCTCTATTGCTAAGATACTCTTACAACCCTCATAATTTTATAATCAGAAAAGTTTTCTAAAAAGTAAAACTACAATAGATGAATATCAGCAGTATGCTGAGTGAAAGAAGACAGATAAAAAGGCCATATAATGTATTAGAAGTATCTAGAAAAGTTATTTTAGTGTAATGGCAAAGTAGGTACATTATTTGAAATTGAGGCCAGACATGCTTTGACTGGGAGTGGGGCAGAGTAGAAGGTAAAGAGGACTTGGGCTAGAACAATAGTGCTCATGTTTCTGCACGCGATGCTCAGCCAGCAGGGGGCACACCCTTTAAGGAGCTGGAATAGGATTGCTCTGGGGCTCAGCTGGCTCTGGATATGGACTGGTGCCAGTAGGCTCCTTTGCTGGAGAGCCAGTGCTATCCAAGCACCTCCCACGTGGTGAGCTCGGAGCTTCATCTCATTGGTGCCACCTGCCAAGGCAGGAAAGGAACGCCTGGCCATTTGGAGAGTGCTGGTCGGTGATACAATGGCCAGTATAAATGTCAGCAGGACTGCCTAAGGGCAGCCAGGGAAGGACGCAGACAACTGCAGGATAAGGAGCCACCTTCCAAGATGGAGAAGTTCAAGGCTGCGATGCTGTTGGGGAGTGTCGGCGATGCTCTTGGCTATGGAAATGTCTGCAGGGAGAACAGTGCTCTGGGCTCAATCCAGGAGGAGCTGCAAAAGACTGGGGGACTGGACCACCTTGTGCTCTCACCTGGAAAGTGGCCAGTGAGTGACAACAGCATCATGCACATGGCAACCGCTGAGGCCCTCACCACAGGTAGGACTGGCTGGTGCACCTGCTCCAGGTGTGGTGGGGTAGAAAGAATGGTATGTGGCTGCCTGTGTACCAAAAGCCTTGAAAGTGGTGCACCGGTGCCCTATGTTACCTGATGCTACTGCTAAAGTGGTGATTTAATATTCACCCAAGTCCCACAACCAGCCAGTCAGCCAGGCAGCGAGTCATGTTTCTCCTGCGTGTCTTTGGGGAAGCACTTTGCTTTGCAGATAATTAAGCTTCAGCGTCTAAATAGCAGCTTTCACTTGTTTCTGCTGGTGCACAATAGGCAAGCCTCTTGTGTGGGAACTGCTTTGGTAGGATCAGAATGTAGACCCAGTTCCCCACTGCAGAGGATGTGCCTTCTCATTCTAAATTTATTATAGAAGAATATATTATTTGGGGCTGGAGAGATAGCGCAGCGGTTAAGAACACTGACTATTCTTGCAGAAGACCCGGGTTCAAATCCCAGCACCTACATGGCAGCTAACAACTGTCTGTACTCCAGTTCCAGGGGATCTGACAGCCTCTTCTGTCCTCTGCAGGCATTGCATGACACGGGTGCACGTACCTGCACGCAGGCAATACATGCATGCACATAAAAAAATAAAAAGAATATATTATTCATCTTGAAGTTTGGATCCATTGAGATAACATTGTTTGAGAATCACATCTCAATTCCAAACATTTAAAATTGAAATAACAGCCCTGGGCATGGTGGCACACATCCTTAATCTCAGCAGAGGCAGGTAGATCTCTGTGAGATCAAGGCCAGCCTGTTCTACATGGTGAGTTCCAGGTGAGCTATGGCTACAGGGAGACCCTGTCTCAACAAAACAAAACAAAAAGAAACAAATGAAATACCTGCCAAAATCATTCCGCTTGAGCATTGTTTATGCATAAGTATGTTCCAAAAAAGAGGTGTTTGGATATGGGAGAACAAAGTTAAATTTATTCGCTAAGAAGAAGATTGGTGACAGGATCAAAAAAATGTCACATGGATTTCAGAGAAACAATGATATAGAAACACGGTATGTCTCTCATACACAGGGTATGCACGCTAACATCCTGCAGATTAAGATCTGAGGGCAGTGATTAAGTCAGTGGGTCTCACTAATGCATTCACCATTCTGTTAGCCCATCATGAACGTGCCCAGTTTAGTTCTGTAGTCATTGTATAGGAATGCCATCAATGTCATGTCCCTAAATAGCTGGAGTGTGTTGATAAGATGAGGTGTCACAGCTTGTTGAAAGTGGCAGAACATCTTTCTGGTCCACACACTTATGAAATCCAAGTATTTATGGCTCCTGCTGTCATTGTATAGGAATATTGTCAACTAGTCCCTAAATAATGGGGGAAGCAAAGCACACTGATAAGATACAGTGTTATGGCCTTTGGAAAGTGGTGAAGCATCTTTCTGGGTTCACAAAATTATGAATTCCAAGTGTTTCTTGCCCCTAAAATTTTGGGCAGACTATGTGCTTTTATGATCAGCAGCATAGCTCAGAGCTAATAGCCTGCTAGAGAGCATTACTTTTGAAATAAACCTGCAGTCAGCACTTATTCTTGATGTCTGCTTCCTTTGATTCTGTGTGTATACTGATATAGAACCACAAGGTCCCCATGTGTGCACAGAGTATGGTGCTCTGATGGGTGTTCTGTGGATACAGAGTCCTGTCTCTGGGACTGCCCTGGAGAGTGCCTTGCACAAGTATGTGATGACATAGGGAACCTGGGATTAGATCAACAGGACACAGTCTACCCAAGGTGAAATGTGTGTACTTGCTAAGGTTGGAACCATTCTGTTGCATTGTTTGTTTGTTTTTTGTTTTTAATGGTTTTTAGATTGGGGGAGGGTTTGGTCTTTTTTTTAACTTTTTTATTATTATTATTTATTTATTTTTGGTCTTTTTGAGACAGGGTCTCCCTGTAGCCCCAGCTGTCCTGGAACTCACTATGTAGACCAGGCTGGCCTTGAACTCACAGAGATCCACCTGCCTCTGCCTCTCAAGTGCTGAGATTAAAGGCATGCACCACCATGCCCGGCCTATTATTATTATTTTTATTTTATGTATATGCGTGTATTGCCTGCATGTAGGTAAGTGTACCCATGTCATGCAGTGCCCGTGGAGGTCAGAAGAGGCTGTGGGATCCCCTGGTACTGGAGTTACAGACAGTTGTTAGCTGCCATGTGGGTGCTGGGGTTCGAACCCAGGTCTTCTGCAAGAACAACCAGTGTTCTTAACTGCTGAGCCATCTCTCCAGCCTCTTTTCAGTCTTTTTTGAGACAAGGTCACCTTGTAGCCCTAGCTGGCCTAGAATTTGCTATGTAAACAGGCTGACCTCTTTCTCACAGAGATCCACCTGCCTCTGCCTCCTGAGTGTGTGACTAAAGGCATGTACCACCATGCCCAGCTTGTTGAATTTTTTTTTAAAGGAGGAAGTGAATTCTCTTCTAGTCACCAGATGTAGCAAACGTGTGAGTTGCTGTGTTGCACCCTGTTGTGGCCTCTTATTGTAGGTCATGAGAAAAAAGCTTGTTAAACATCTCCTTTATGGTTAATCCTTTATAAACTAAATATGTTTTTTCTACTCACTAAAGTTCAAAGTTTTAAGTTTAGTCTTCAAACAGCCAAGTTTTTAACAATTGTAGTCCACTTCAGGGGGCCATGGAGCCATTAGTATGATAGGTGCAACTCCCTGCGGTGCAAATATGCAAGGGGTTATCCCACCTGCCTTACGTGTGCGATCCCAGGGCCATGTCATCCTCATACACCGAAAGGTAACTTTAGTGTTTTCCATTCCACAGGTGAGGGGTGGACACATGGGGTGGTTGAGTAACTTGTTCAGTACCATACAGCCATGTGACAGAGCACACCAGACCCTGTTCTTATACACCCTGATGACTGCCTAAAGTGGCCCTGGAACTATTTATTGCAGCGTTTGGAGATCCTACAGCCTGTTCCCTAGAATGGAGCCACTCTTGGCACATTTAAGCAAGTGTCACTCATGAGTTTATCACCCTGCAATCCCCCTGCTAATGGTCTGTAAAGCCATGGCTCTGCTACCACAGACATAACTCAGTCAGGGACAGCATGTAGCCTTCAAGACACAAGAGCAGAAATAACCAGGGTAGGGCGTTGTCTGATGACATTCTACAAGACACATCAGTATTGTCATACAAGAGCCATCAGTCGGGAACACAGAGGCTAGTGCAGTATTGTCATGTCACTCGGTGAGCCTCTAGTAAGCACAGGCTTAGGTGCCAGACTTTGAGTGTGGCTCATTCTGGGACCATTTGCTCTGGGGCCCAGATGTACAGTTCCATGTTCCTAGGAAGCTGGTGAGGTGCTCATGTCCCTGAGCCTTAAAGTCCTTGGGGCTGTGGGAATCAAGCAGAGCCTTGGGGGACTGGTGGGGGGTGGTTTGTCTGAAGAGTCCACCAGACTGGGCTCCAGGTCAGCAGTTCTGACTGTTGATTGCCAGGGCCAGTCAGTGCAGCAGGAAGGAAAGGCTGACTTGAAGTGCCCAATCATACAGCCTGTAGGTGACAAGGGACTGGCAGAGTGAGGGTAGGTCAGACCTGAGCCTTCTCTTCCTCTCAGTAGCTACCTGGCAGCTAGCTGAGTTAAGAGTTAGAACAGACACAAGTCAGAGCTGAGATGAGGTAAAGCAGGCAGAACTACCTGGAATCAAGGTATTTTACTTTAAACTCAGTAATGGCATTTTGCCTTTTTTAAAAAAATTACATTAATTTAGCTGGGCAGGGTGGCACATGCCTTTAATTCCAGCACTTAAGAGGCAGAGGCAGGTGGACCTCTGTGAGTTCGAGGCCAGCCTGGGACTACAGGGAGACCCTGTCTCAAAAAGACCAAAAAATTTAAAATAAATAAATAAAATAACATTAATTGAGAGCTGCCAATCAGTTTTCCAAATTGACTTATCCTTCAGTATACTGGATAGGAAGGTAGAGAATTGAGTGTACAGTCAGAGCAGAGCGGCTGGAAGGATTCACAGCTTTGTAGACCTATTTCTAGTTTACATTCAATCTGAAAAGACAAGTTTTATGGACCCTCTTTACTCTGAAAAATCTATTTCAGTTGAATGCAAAGATTTTGTTATATCTGATCCTGTAATAAAGTAATTATTTTGGAGAACTCTGGAAGGGCTGGGCTGATGTGCCAAGATGGAAGAAAGAAAGGCCATCTGTAAGCAGATAGCGCTGTGAGCCAGTGCCAAACACTGGCCAAAGCCAGGGTTCTGCCTCCCAGCAGGGGTTTATGAACAGACAAAACTAATTTTATTCCTGCAGGGTTGCCACATAGAGCCTGCCTGGGACATGCAGCACTCCCTCCTGCCAAACAAGGTTCTGCCCATCCTCTCTCCTGCCCCAATTCAGAGATAGGCATGGGACCTGAAGGGATGAGCGATAGGAGCTGCCTCTGCCCTGAGGAGCAGTGAAGTAAGGCTAGGGAAGTTCTCTTTCTGCAGTAGTTCATAGCTGTGGGTAAAGACTGTTCCTATATGGAAGAGCAATTCTGACAGGCACCTCACTTTACTTGGCTGGCATGAAGAAGTCTCTAAGGTTTCCAGCCTACTCTTCCCTGGAGCAGGTGGTTACAGGTTCCTCCAATCTTCCTCCAGGCCCCCAGCCCTCAGCAAAGACAGATCACCCATAGACAAGGAAAGGGCCAGAGGTTGTCTCCCAGTGACAGCTCTACACCCTGAGTGTAGCTTTGACACAGACTGAAAACCCACTGGTGCCCATTAAAGAGGACGTGAGAAGGTACCACTTACAGCCTTACCAGGTCCAATGACCCACAGCTACAGCCTGTCCTATACATGGTCAGACATCCTGGACCCCACTGTCTGGGCATGTGTGACCTCTGTCCACAAAGCTGTGGATTAGCTTAGAGACCAAAAGTCATTAGCTTTGTAGTCAAAATCTGTCAGTGAGCTCTGGCCATGGCAAACAACCTTTGGGGAAAATGACATTGGGCCTGATGGGACTGTCCAGGGGCCTAAGGCAGATGTTCAAGGTAGGCAAGCCCTTTTCATTCCCTGTACCCCATGATCTTCAGGATTTGGCCCCATTTTGGTACCCGGAGTGCACTTCAGGGACCAGGGCAGTTTGGCAATAGTGACCATGAAGAGCCTGGGTTTTCCAAGGGGGAGATGAGAGCTGGAGCTTAGTGAAAATCAGCCTCCACCACTGTAAACCATCTGCTTCATGAGCCTGGAGCCAGATGCATTTTGACATTGTTTATTCTGAAGGGACTAAACTATTAACAGGAATGAGTGGAGGAGACCAGAATAGGAGTGACGGCCAACAGTAAGATCTGAGATTCACCTAGGCAACAGGGACTCACCAAACCTTCTCTGAGCACACTCACATGCCCCCACCATTGATGGAAGCCTGTTCATATACCCAACCACCCTACATGCTTACTGTCCCCACTTACATCTGTACCCACTCCTTCCTCCATAGACTATTGGTGCCTAGATGACCTGTATCGGGAGATGGTAAAGTGCTACGTGGAGACTGTGGAGAAGCTTCGGGAACATCGACCGGACCCTTCCACTATTGAGGGCTGCTCGCAGCTGAAGCCAGATAACTACCTCCTGGCCTGGCATACACCCTTCAGTGAAAAGGGTCAGAAACCTTTCTATTCACAGAGCTGTTGCTAGGCACCCTGCAGATGCTGACCACCTGTCCTACCATTTACCATGGCATTCCCATTTGTCTGGATGGGAGCCTTTGAAGGGCAGGGCATTGTTTGAGCTTCTGTTAAAGATGCTATCTATGTGGTACCAGGCTTCCCCACATAGATTTCTGTTATCCATCTCTGGTTTACTTTAAGGAATGTTTTCCATTGCCTTTACTTAAAGTTTGTGTCTTGCTAAGGAGAAATGCCATCTGTGCACGTCTCTCCAATGTGCATGCTACTTTCATGGGGTACAGCATGTAGGCAGCCCCAGTCTCCACCTCTTGGGCCTCTCGCCTCCTGGCTGTGTCCTGATGCTCCTTCATAATTACTGAGGCCACCGTTCTTCATTTACCCTGAAGGGAGCAGAGGACAGGCTCCTCTGTCAGTGCCACAGCTATCAGGCCTCCCCCTTCAGACCTGGGTTCATTCTTCCCAAACAGACGAGGATGTGCTAAAACCTAAGGAGTCCCTCCCTGACCTGAAGGATACTGTCTGAGAGAACAGCAGAACACAGGCAGGCTCAGGCAAGCTGCTCTAACAGCCCCCCAGTAGGCTAGAAGAGAAGCAACCTAGGAACACTGGAAAGGGCAGTGTAAGCAGGTACAAGTGTTACCACCAGGAGAGATAATCTATCTGAGCAGGTATAAACTTGTCACCACCACCAGGCAGGGCAGTTCAAACAGGTATAGCAATATTGCTGTTCTAGTTTCCTTTCTGTTGCTATGATAAAATACCCTGATAAAAAGAAATTTAGGGGGGCTGGAGAGATGGCTCATCAGTTAAGAGCACTGGCTGCTCTTGTAGAGTTCCTGGGTTCGAGTCTCAGCACCCACATGGTGGTTAGCAGCTGTTCGTAGCTCCAGTTCCAGGGGATCCGACACCCTCTTCTGACCTCTATGGGCATTGCATGACACGAGTACACTGACATACATGTAGGCAAAACACTCATACACATAAAATAAAAATAATAAATTTTTTTTTGGTATTTTTGAGACAGGGTCTCCCTGTAGCCTCAGCTGTCCTGAAACTCATGATGGAGACCAGGCTGGCCTTCAACTCACAGAGATCTGCTGGCCTCTGCTTCCCAAGTGCTGGAATTATAGGCACCTTAGAAAATTTAAGATTATCTGTATATTATCTTTGTCCCATTCTTTTTTTTTTTCTTTTTGAAGCAGGGTCTTCCTGTGACCCCAGGAGTCCTAGAACTCACTGTGTAGACTAGGCTGGCCTTGAACTCACAGAGATCCACCTGCCTCTGCCTTCCTAGTGCTGGGATTAAAGGTGTGGGCTACCACACCTGGCTATTTTTTTTTAATTTTATGTGTATGCATGTATTACCTGCATGTGTGTAAGTGCACCCGTGTTGTGCAATGCCCGAGGAGGTCAGAAGAGGCTGTCCGACCCCCTGGGACTGGAGTTACAGACAGTTGTTAGCTGCCATATGGGCGCTGGGATTCGAACCCGGGTCTTCTCCAAGAACAACCAGTGTTCTTAGTCACTGAGCCATCTCTCCAGCCCCATAACATATTTTTAAAAGGCAATTTAGAGGGGAATGGGACAGCTTACAATTCCATATTACAGTCTATCATTATGGGGAAGTCAAAGCAGGAACTTCAAATAGTCGCATCACATCCAGTCAAGAGCATAGAGAAATGAGTGCACACATGCTTGCTTGTGCTCAGCTCCATTTCTCTGTTCTTATAGAGTTCAGGACTCCCTGCTTAGGGAACAGTAGTGTCTATAGTAGGTGGGATCTTCCCACATCACTTTACTTAAGACAATCCCCCACAGACATGCCAGCCCCAGACAGGCCAACCCAGTGTAGACAATTCCTCATCAAATCTCTCTTCCCAGCTAATTTCTGGTTGTGTCAAGTTGACAAAACTAACCATCACAGATACCTACCAGGAAAACCTCAGAGTCATCACTGAGAAGATCCACACGGCTTCCTTCTGGGCAGGGTAAAAATGGTACAAACTCTTGAGAGGGAAACCTGGCATTATCTTGTCAAAATTATCTAATGGACATGACTTTTGATTTCAATTCTACTTCTAGAACTTTTAAGGACCTATAATGACAACATACTAAAGCAAATGAGCAGAAATGTATTCATGAAGATGCTCTTTGCATCATTGTTTGTATTAGCAAAAACCTAGAAACAGCTTGGTGTCCCTCAGTAAGAGAATGAGAAAGTTAATTGTGGTATATCTATACGATGGAATGCTACGCAGCTGATTAAAAGAATGAAGTAGATCTATGTGTTGATATGTGGAAAGCCCTCTGCTTATAGATTGGTGAGGAAAGCAAGATGCCAACTAGTGCATTCGGCTCTATCCTAACTGTATTTATGGAAAGAATGTGCATGGGGAGAGAGCCGATGGGCTTGTGTGTGCATCAGGAAACCTCAAAGGACAGTAGAGCCTTCATGGCTGAAACTGAGAATAGAGCTGAAGGTAAGAGATTAGACAGCTTTCTGTTCCAAAGATAAAGTTAGAGCAAAACTGAGTATTATCAGTTCATTCATGACTATTTCCATATGTAATTCTAGAAGATAGTCTCTCTCTCTCTTGCTGTGTGTGTGTGTGTGTGTGTGCGAGAGAGAGAGAGAGAGAGAGAGAGAGAGAGAGAGAGAGAGAGAGAGAGTGAGAGAGAGAGAGAATGTGTATGGCAGCCAGAGGATAACTTCCTGTCATTCTTTAGGAGCCATCCACTTGCTCTGTGTGTGTGTGTGTGTGTGTGTGTGTGGTATGCATGTAGCTTCAGTGTGCAGGTGTGTCACTCAGGCACACGTGGAGACTAGAACAGGAATGTGGGTTTCTTCCTCTGTTACTTTCCCCTTATTGCCTTGAGACAGGATCTCTCACTGAACCAGATGCTTGCTGGTTTTGCTAGGCTGCTGACCAGAGCTCTTGAGACTTGCTGGTCTCCTTCCCCAACTAAAAAAAATTTATATATTATTTTTATTTTATGTGTATGAGCGTAATGCCTGCATGTATGTGAGTGCACCCGTGTCGTGCTGTGCTGCGGAGGTAAGAAGAGGGCGTCAGATTCCCCTGGAACTGGAGTTAAGGACAGTTTGTAGCTGCCATGTGGGTGCTGGGATTCAAACCGGGGTCCTCTGCAAGAGCAGTCAGTGCTCTTAACCGCTGAGCCATCTCTCCAGCCCCCCCAATTTGGGGGCTATAGGCACACATGCCTGGCTTTTTACACGGGTGCTGAAGATAGAACTCAGGTCCCCATGCCTACATAACAAGCACTTTACAGACTGAGCTATCCTTCCAGGCCCTTTGCCGGTAATAGTGTATGAAACTTTTTTTTTTTTTTTTGTCTTTTTGGGACGGTCTCCCTGTAGCCCCAGCTGGCCTGGAACTTGCTATGTAGACCAGGCTGGCCTTGAACTCACAGAGATCCACCTGCCTCTGTCTCCCAAGTGCTGGGATTACAGGGGTGCACCACCATGCCCGGCTCCCAGTAGTTCTTAAGACATAAAAGCAACATAATAATGGCCCCAGGGGTTCACCTGTCTCTGTCTCCCAGGTGCTGGGGTTACAAGCTTGTACCACCATGCTTAGCTTTTTATATGGCCATTAAGGATAGAACTCAGGTCTTCATAAAAACACTTTATGACCTGAATTATCCTCCCAGACCCCAACAGTCCTTCATAAGATGTGAACACAATAATAATTATTATTATATAATCTTATCATAATGATAGCCAATATATTTAATCTTTTTTTTTTTTTTTTTTTTTGTCTTTTTGAGACAGTAGCCCCAGCTAGCCTGGAACTGAAAATGTGGACCAGGCTGGCCCCAATCTCACAGATATCCATATCCACCTGCCTCTAATTCCCAAGTATTGAGATTAAAGGTGTGCACCACCAGACCCAGCAAAATTTTCCTTTAAAATTTTATTTATTTATTTTTACTTTATGTATATGAGTGTTTTGTCTGCATGTAAGTGCACCTGTGTCTTGCAATTCCCACAGAGGCCAAAAGAGGGCGTCAGACCCCTTGGAACTGGAGTCATAGATGGCCGTTACCCACCAAGTGGGTGTTGGGAGCCAAACCCCAGCAAAAACAGCAAGTGCTCTTAACTGCTGAGCCAACTCTCCAGCTCCAGTTTCTTTTTCTACCTTTATTTTTTTTTCACATAATCTTAAACAGATGCTTTCATTTTCCTGTGCTTTGATTTGATCCATATTAAAAGATTTCCCAAAGCTGTGAGGCATTGCTTCTTGAGTTGGGTGTTCAAATTTGGAGGTTTTGCTTTTTGTTTGTTTTTTGAAATGGGGGTCTCATTATGTATCCCTGGCTGCTATGTAGACCAGGCTGTCCTTGAACTCACTGAGATCCATCTTCCTCTGTCTCCTGAGTGCTGGGATTTAAATTCTGCACCACCATGCCCAGAAAGTATTCTGATTTTCTTTTTTTTTTTTTTTTTTTTTTTTGAGACAGGGTTTCCCTGCAGCCCTAGCTGTCCTGGAACTCAATATGTAGACCAGGATGGCCTTGATCTCACAGAGACCCACCTGCCTCCGCCTCCTGACTGCTGGGATTAAAAGTGTGTGCCACCATCCCCTGGCTCTGGGCATTCTGATTTTTAATAAAACATCAAATGCTGTTGTTTGTTGTGTGGCCTTCTCCATTCAGGTGCTTCCAGCTGTGAGAGTGTGCTGGGCCGCTCAGCTCAGCTGGCCTTTTCACACTTCTAGCCATAACCCAGCAGCAGGCACAGTACTCTCTTCATGTCTAAACAAGAAGAAAGCAAGAAGCTGGAAAAAAAAAAAAAAAAGCCCTCTTCCCTCTGCCGGGCCCTGGGCACCCAGGGGAACAGTGCTGTGGATGATGGATCCTTTCAGAGACATTTGGGTCACAACAATCCACCTTGTGAGGTCATTGTTGCTTCTGGGAGTTGCTTCTTGTAAACCAAGTCAGGCCCCCAGGGCGGTCCTCTTGCAGCCTTTCACCATGTGACCTCTTCCATTAGGAGGTCATCACCAGCAGCCAAAGAAGTGTAGCTCCAGGCTCTTGGACCTCCAGAACAGTGAGAATAGGATTCAGAAAAACAGAAAAATATAAGTATTTTGGTTTTTACATATATTTATTCATTTATTTAGTGTATGTATGTGTGTGTACTTGATGTCACTGCACACATGTGGAGGTCAGAGAAAAATTTATGGAAATCGGTTCTGTCCCTCCATCATGTGGATTCCATGGATTGAACTCAGGTCATTAGCCTTGGTAGCAAGCACCTTTACCCACTGAGCCATCTCACTGGCAGTACCAAGTACTTTTAAATGATGACAGATAGTTGCACATTATCTTTTAATATGCCCTTCCCAAATTCTTCCTGTGTCCATTTCCTGGGTCCAGGATGACTTGGATAGAAGGTTGTACAGGGATGCTACCTTCATAGTGTGCCTTCCATGTCACCTGGAGACCCTTTAAGAATAACAAACCACATCAACTAATAAAACTAAAGAAGTTGCTGTTTGAATGCAGGTAGTAAGGAGATGATTGCTTTCCATCTGCATCACTTTCTAAGACTGGCCAGTCTGTGGACTGACCACATTTGTTTATCCCCTCATGCCTCTGTGGACCCCTGGGCTGCACCCCTCTTTTGGCTGCTATGAATAATGCTGCTATGAGCATGCGTCTGCTAGTCAGCCACGGGGCAGAATTGTGTTCATTTTGTCTCATTTTTTTTCCAGCACCTGCCTCAATGTTTGACATATGATAGGCACTCATTCAGGTTTCTTTCATTAATGACCTCCACAAATGGCATGGTGGTACACTCCTGTAACCCTAGCACTCCTGAGGCTGAGGCAGGGGGATTGCTGCAAGTTGGAGGCCAGCTTGAGCTACATCACAAGACCCTTTCTCAAAAATAAAGAAGACTTTATTCAACAGTGCCTGGCTCACAGCAAAGCCTGTGAACAGTGGCTGAACTAGGTCCTCTGTATCCATGGCCCGAATTCAGCTCTTACCATCAGTGTTGCTTCTAGAGTCATAACTCCATTGGCCTAAGCTTTCACATTAGATACATCTCAAATTCAGAGTGAATTTAAATTGGTGAGCTAATAAGAGAAATAGATGACCATATTTTTTTCTTTTTTAAAAAGATATTTTATTTGTTATTTTTATTTTATGTGTATGAGTGTATTGCCTGGATGTATATGAGCACACCCATGTCATGCAATGCTGTGGTGGTCAGAAGAGGGCTTCTATCCGCTTGACTTGGAGTTAAGGATGCTTCATAGCCACCATGTGGGTGCTGGGAATCGAACCCAGGAGATGACCATAGTTTTTGTTTCTTAAAAGTTCCTTTTAAATAAATCATTTTTCCTTAAATAATAAAAATAGTACCTCTTCATTTTAGAAAATTTAGAAAACACAGAAATATGTAAAGGAGATAAAGACCACATGCAAACCCACTCAGGCATAACCCCATTAGACTTTTGGTGTGTGCCCTCGGGGCTGCTTCTGACATTGTGTAGTATATGAGTATGAGGTTCTTAAGCCCATGTGAAATGGTGCAATGGCACCTGAAGATAGACTATAAAAAACTTAAAGATGTATAGGATAAACCCAAAAGTAGCTGCCCAAATAACAAAACAGTTGATAAACCCAAAAGAAAAAACAAAATACATGAAAAGCATTCAATCCACAAAACAGAAAAGAGGGAAATATACTGTATAAATAGTAGATAGAAAACAACAAATAATACACTTAAACTTATCAGACTGATAGTGGTAGCAAATGTGAAGGGGCTGAAGACCCTGAGTAGTGAGTGGGCATAGACTGTCAGACTGGATAAAGAATCAGGAATTCAAAGTAAGAGGCTTGCCAGTCAGAGGGCAACATTAGCACTCGATAAATGGTATTGCACGGAAGAAAGAAGTCTCTATTTTCTGCCCAATATTGAGCTTAAAAGTCATGAGATAGAGGCAGAAATCCCAGAGATGGAGCTGAGGAGGGGAATCCAGAACTTGAACTCAGTGAAGGGAAAAGTGCCATGTATTAAGAGGTGCCACCAGACGTGGGGAACCAATAATTGAAGAATAACTAGAATTAGGAGGATTCCTAATTCTATCTCCTGAGATACATGTCACCCTCCCACCACCTTGTAGAACAGCTCCGGGGCTGGCTTCTACTCTGCCTGCCCGATTCCCAGATGCCACCACTAGATGAGTACTTCCTCAGCCTCAGCTGAGGAGACATCTTCCCACCCTCATGGAAATGGAAAATCTTTTCAGAAGCTGTGGTCCAAGCCCAACTGGCTCTGACACTCTTTGGTTAAAATAAAAACAACAACAACAACAAAAGAATCAGAAGTGCACAGTAAACACAAAGGGACAAATAATCAAAAGATGAAGATATACCAGACCAGCACTGATCCAGGGAAAGGCAGAATGGCTGTATTAATGACATGCACAGTAAACTTTGTACCAAAGAATATCACCAAGAACAAAGATGGCAATTTCCTGATGAGCCAATCTGCTGAAGAAGGGCACATAACAAGCCACATGTGTACAACCTAACAACAGGCCTTCAAAATGTGAAGCAAAACATGCTGAAGGCGAAATAGACAAATCCACAGCCTCGGGCACAGAGTCCAGTATTAAGGTCTGAAGGCAATGACTTCAGTTTTCACTGAAGAAGCCAGGAAGAATACAGCCATAGTGGTACACACCTGTAATCCCAGCACTTAGGAGGTGCGGGCAGGAAGATCCAGAGCTCGCCAGCCTCAGCCATGTGAGACTCTGCCTTGAAAGAAGGGGAGGAGGGAAGGAAGAAAGAAGGAAAAGAGAGAGAAAAGATAAAAAAATAAAAGCAAATAAAACCCAAAGGAAGCAAAAAGAAAGAAATAATGAAGATCATAGTAGGAATCAGTAGCAGAACAGATGGACAAAAAGTCAACAAAATCAAAAGCTGACTCTTGTCTTTGGAGTTGGGTTTCACTGTGTTGTTGAGGTTGACATGGAACTCCTGAGCTCATGAGAGCCCCCTGCCCCAGTCTCTTAAGTAGCTGGTACTACAGGAGCATGCCACCATGCCCAGGTAAAAGCTGGTCCTTTCTTTGCAGGACTGGATGGCATACACCTTTAATCCCAGAACTCCCAGCATTCTGGAGGCAGAGGCAGGCAGATCTTTGTGAGGTTGAAGCCAGCCTGATCTACATAATGAGTTCCAGGCCAGCTGTGGCTACAAGGAAACCCTGTCTTGGTTTGTTGTTTTGTTTTGTTGTCTTTTTGAGATGGGTCTCCCCATAGCCCCAGCTGACCTGGAACTAGAACTCACTGTGTAGACCAGGCTGGCCTTGAACTCACAGAGAGCCACCTGCCTCTGCCTCCTGAGTGCTGAGATTAAAGGCATGTGCCACCACGCCTGGCAGACACTGTTTCTAAAGAGAAAAGGTATATCTACCAGGCATGGTGGCTATATAGCAAGATTGTTTCCAAAAAGGAAGGAAGGAAGGAAAGAGAGAGAGGAAGGCAGGAAAGAAGGAAGGAAGGAAGGAAGGAAGGAAGGAAGGAAGGAAGGAAGGAAGGAAGGAAGGAAGAGAAAATATCTTATTAAAGCCATTATGAATACAACTCTGCTTCTGTTTTTCCCCAAGTAGCATATTGTGCGCCTGGCCCCAGGCCAATAAAAAGTCCATTTTTAGGGGCTAAATAACCCCACTTCCTTGCAACCTGACTTACTGATCTCTGTCAGCCATGTAGGTGGCTTGTTTACTGTTCACTCATTTAAATGTCATTCTAATGAATGTGTTATTTAAATTTCTGTACTTTAGAAATTATGAATGCTAAACTTCCAAAGATTGTTAGAGCAAACATGAATTCAGGTGTTCATCATCCACACAGGTTCGGGATTCGGAGCTGCCACTAAAGCAATGTGCATTGGCATGCGGTACTGGAAGCCAGAGCGGCTGGAGACCCTCATCGAAGTCAGCATTGAGTGTGGCAGAATGACCCACAACCATCCCACAGGTAAAGCAGGTGCCGGACAGGTACAAGCCCTGCACAGATGATATTCTACTTATCAGAATAGATGCTAAGTACAGTGCACTATAGTGAAGAGACTATACAAGGGGGAGCTCTCATTTGTCCTCTATTGTTCACATCAACAAAAGAGAGGAGCAGATCATGAGGGGAAATTGGACTCTGGGCTGACTCAGGGTTAGAGTCAGTTCTGTGGGGTGCTGTCTTTCACCATGGCCTGGCTCATGTTATGCACTCTCCTGCTTAGAGTCTCCAGGTCAGTCCTGCAGCAGCCCTGAAAAGGTGGGTGTCTCATCTTTTATACAAGATTGGGGTCATCTGCTTGGGCTCAGAAAGCCACTGGCCCAGGTGACAGAGCTGTCTCTCTCTTCCTGCCACCCCCATAGGTTTCCTCGGGTCTCTGTGCACTGCCCTGTTTGCCTCTTATGCAATACAAGGAAAGCCACTTGTGCAGTGGGGGAGAGATATGCTGAGAGTGGTTCCGCTGGCTGAGGAGTACTGTAGGAAGACCATCCGGCACATGGCAGGTGAGCCTGGCGGCTTCCCTCCCCACTGACTCTGCTCACCCGAGGCACGTGTATTCATTCATACTCCAACTCAGGCCCTGCCCCTGCTGCCCGACGGCTCTAAGTATGTTCACCCAGAGCAAAGCCTAGAGGTCAGCCTGGGCAGAGCTGACCTCACAAAAGTCCTGGCCTTGCAGAGGGCAGACATCTGCTCCAAGTGGTACCAAGGGCTCAAGGAAAGCCAGAGCCACATCAGTGGCTTCTTTCCCAGAATCTGAGGTCTCTGCAGAGACGACCCCCCGAGCCCTTCACATCTCCAAGCTGACACCAGGTGTCTAGTATAATAAAGTATCTTAGCCGGGCATGGCGGCACACACCTGTAGTCCCAGAACTTGGGAGGCAGAGGCAGGCGGATCTCTGTGGGACAGCTGGGGCCACAGGGAGACCCTGCTTCAAAAAGACCAAAAAAAATTAATTCAAATAAAGACAGTACAATCTATTGATCTTTTCTACCTTTCAGGTTAATTATCTGTCAAGCTACCAGGATCTCTGTGAGTTCAAGGCCAGCCTGATCTACATAGTGAGTTCCAGGACAGCTGGGGCTACAGGGAGACCCTGTCTCAAAAAGACCCCCAAAAAAAGTATCTACAGAGGAATGAGCTGCACCTGCATCCCACACAGCCGAGACCTAACCTGTACATGACTGAAGAAATGTGCTCTGTGCCACCTGGTCCCATCTGTGACCTAGGAGCTGTGTCCCTATGCCATGAGTCCCCAGAGACCGTGCCCACTAAGGGCATGTGCCCCCAAGGTTTCCATTTGTCCTTGTTCACCCAGAGCCTGTCACCTTTTTTGAGCATGGTCAGCATGTCAAACAAAGATCCTAGGAACATGGTTCCCAGGGTTTGGGCACACAGCCAGTAAAGTGTACCCCACCCCGGCTCAAGAGGGCAGGTGCCAGGGCCCAGAGGCTGGACCAGGAAACCCAAGGCTCACTCTCCATGTGGCTGAATATTCTGAAAGATCCTCTCACCACAAGGCTGCTCTTGGCTCTGAGGTGTGTGTGTGGGTAGGGAGTGCAGGTGGATCTGTGTGTCTGGCTATGCTCTTAAGTAGGAGGAAGCTTTCTAAAATAAGTCATCCAGGGTGTTCTGTAGAAGGGGGAAAGAGGTGTGTAGGGCCAGGGCTGCTGCTTCTCCAAGATAGCATGAGGCTAAGTGTTCTTGAGACAGCTCCAAGAGGCTCTTCAAGGTCACTTCAAGATGTAAGAGGCTGGGCATGTTCTAACCCGCCTCGAGGATTCCAGAACAACTTTACAAGGATACACAAGAGGACACCCACCTGATCTCAGCACTGGAGGAAATTGAGCCCAAGGGACGGCGCCTAGCATTCCAGCCAGCTCATCTCTGAGCAGCTGTCTGTCCCTCACTCACTAGGCCACCCAAGGAATGCAGTTTCGGGACACAGTCAGTGGCACCATGCTTCATTTATTTTTGCTTGGTTTAAACCATCATACCCTGGTTCCTCTGAGGTTCCCACCATTGCCACCTGCAGTCTGTGGACTGTTTGTCTTATCTGAGTGAGATCACCAGATCTCCCCACCAAGTTAGAAGACAGGTGCTATGTTAGAGCCACACAGCACAGCATTCACATCATTAGGGGACACCCCGAGGACTCTAGAGCCCAAATGGCTATCTTCAAAGTATGCTCTGAAGGGCAGTCATCCATGAGGGTGTGAACTGGAGGACAGGGTTCACTGTCATACCATCTGGGGACTTAACTCTATCTGGGAGGAGGATTTGAAATGCATGTAAGCCAGGTGATCCCTGAGGTCCTGTAATATCTGTTTGAGTCTAAGTTTACTTAACACAGAGTTTTAGAAGTTCCTTGAACACAGAACCTTCAACAGACCCTAAAGTCATTCTGTAAACATCTTGGACAGTATCTCCTGAAGCCTCCTTGACAGCTAGAGGAGTCAAAACAGCCCTTACTCATTGTAGGCTCTGGGTCTGGACAGCTGTTTGCAAAGTGGTCCCTGGTAGAGGCAGTGTTGTGGTCCATGCTACCCCATGCAGGTCTGCAGCATGGCTGAGACTTAGCCTTTCCCAGGTCTTTTGCCTTTAGTAGTATTCATGGAGTGGTGTTTAAGTGGACAGTTCTTCAGCTTTGTGAAGCCAGGCAGGTCCAGGAGCCCAGTGTGCTAGTCCCAGGAGTCATCCCAGTACCTCCTGGCTTCCCCTTTGCAGCCCCTGCCTACCACCCTGTGGCCCTTCACCCTCTTTTCTCTGTCCTCCAGTGTTCTCAGTTCTCCATCCATAGACAGGAAAGCAGGATCTGTCTTTGTCTTTGGATGTGTCCCTGAGACCTTACCAGCCCCTAACGGCCAAGGCATTCCCCATTCTCGGTTACCTCCAAGGGGCATGTGCTATGATCCTCTTGCTACTCGAGTCTCTGGAGGACCTAGTCCTCTGCAAGGCTCCAGGGGGCCTCTACCATGGGTTTGGTGTATTCTAGCCAGTGTCCTCCTCATCAAACTTAGTGCCCAAAAATCATTTAAATTCTCCTGGGCCTTAGGTTTCAAGTTATCAGTTAATAATAATGTAACTTATTATTACTGAACAAGCACAGTGTTAATAGAAATAAGTAATAATAATTAATAATTCTTTGTTGATTTTGTTTTGGATTTCTGGATTTTTTTTCTTTTTTTCCAGTGCCTTATGCATGCTAGGCAAGCACTCTTGACACTGAGCCATATTAGACCCAACCTAATAACTTAAAGTTATAGGTTCAGAATTTTCTGGAGACTGCATTTAATAAACTACAGTCACTTTCTATCTTGGAGTGTGGTTAGGTAACTCTGGTGTTGCTGTTTTGTTCATCCCCACCTTCTGTATTACTATTCAAAGCAGCCACACCTGTTCTTATTTCTGGCACAGGTGCTCTGTCCCCAGACCTGTGGCCGGAAGAGGGTACTACCCATTCCCCCAACCCTACACCTACATCCATTGGGTACTATTAGCCCACTTGTCCTGTGCTTGCATTTAGAGTATCAGGAGCACTGGTTTTACTTCGAAGCTAAATGGCAGTTTTACTTGGAGGAAAGAAAAATCAGTGAAGACACAGAAAATAAAGCCACCTTTCCTGACAACTATGATGCAGAGGAGAGAGACAAGGTAGGCTTGGCCCCAGCCCTATGGTATGCCTGTACTCTCTGGTACTCAGCCAGAGCACACCAAGTGGATGGACAGATTTGTGGATGGACTGGGATCTTAGGCTGGCTACACACTGACCTATAGTTCTCCTCAGACCTATAAAAAGTGGAGCTCAGAAGGCCGAGGGGGACGACGAGGCCATGATGCCCCCATGATTGCCTATGATGCCCTCCTCGCTTCAGGGAGCAACTGGACTGAACTGTGCCAGCGGGCCATGTTTCATGGAGGTAAGATGTCCTCCTCTGTGGTGGAGGCTTCCAGGAGGCACCAACCTATACCCTGAAGCATTTATAGGGTTTTGAGGCCACAGACATGGGATACAACCCCAACCCCAGAACACAGGTCTTTCTCCATTACTGAACAAACTCTGGAGATTCTGACTGTAGTACACACACAGGTATTACATGCAATAGGTATTGTTGCAGTCACCTACCTTGGTGTAGCCCACAGGTCCACCAGTCTCACACATGAGGCCACTATCAGGAGGACAGTGTAGCATTTGGAGTGACCAGGTACTATGGTGAGTTGCTTCACTTCCTGGAGCCCATTTTCCCCTGGCAGCACCGACTCCATGGGCTTGCTGAGTGTGAAAGCAGATGAGAATAAGGGAGGCCTACCTTCCTGCCCACACAGGCTCAGTGATGTTTGGTAGTGCACACAGTTCTGCTGGGGTACACCAAGCCCATGGTGGAGGTCCTCTGGAGCCAGCTGTGAGCTTTTGGTGGAGCCCAGCTGTAAGGAGGGCAGAGAAGGTTGAGGAGAGTGAGCAGAATCAGTTTGTACAGCCCACTGAGGGGCCTGGGCTGGAACATCTTATACAGACAGGAAGGCAAAAATGCAGACAGTTGTATCCCCTTATCCCTGAAAATAGAATCGGGTATTTGGAGCATTTGGGACAGCTTGAGAACTACAGGATGCCAGACCTGACCAAGAGAGGCGGAGTAGACTTGAGTGGTTGACAGGGAAACCATTTCCCCTGTAGTTGCCTCTGACCACTGCGCTAGCAACTATATCTCTCTGTTCAATTGTGAGCATGTGGCCAGGGCCCTTAGCTGCCAATGGAAAGTTCTGTATGGGACCAGAACTTTGTTCCACAAATCATGATGGGCTCCTCGCATTTGCTCAGCTTTCTTCTGAGAATGAACAGCTGTTATCAGAGCCATCCTGGGAGCAGGTTTTGGTAGACAGTTTCAGGAACTCAGGGGTCTGGCTACACTGGCCCCTTGTCCTATTTGCTGTTCCTGGATGTTTGTGTTTAATCCTTTCGCAGGGCCAGCACCCATCTTCCCAGGTCTCTAGGCCTATTTACTCCCAGAGCTCCTGCCCTGGCCCACCCCATTCTGTCCTCCATCATTTTGGTCCCAGCCTCATTCAGTCCAGTTTCTCTCCTCACAGTGTATGTGCACACAAGTATGCAGTTGCTAGTGCATGAGTGTGTCTGAAACATAGCCAGGACTCAGAGGCAGCTTGGGGTCATAGGTCAAGAGAGAAGGAATTGGAAGCCGTTCCAAGGTTCCCAGGCACAGAGATGAGGGGAAAGTATAGTGTGGAGATCATAGTTCAGCTTTTTTCTTTAAGAACTGGCAAATTCCTAAAGCTTTCAATGCTGTTTATGTGTACTTCACCATCCTCATTTTACAGATCCTCATTTTAAAAACTGTAGAGAGACTGTACAAGTGACCCTGAAATTCTGACACGTGCCCTGAAATTCTGAAAAACAGGCTGTGGTCTAAAGATGTAGCTCGGTTGGTAGAGTGCTTGACTGGTATACATGAAGTTTGAATTTAATCCCCAGAACCACATAAAAATCTGTCATGATAGGGCTAGAGCAATGGCTCAGCAGTTAAGAGCACTGATGCCTTCTTCTGGCTTCTGTGGGTATTGCATGCACAAGCCCACTTACATACATGTAGGCAAAACATTCATATACATAAAAATAAATAAAGCAAAAAACAAAAACAAAATAATTTTAAAATAATAATTTTTTTTGTCTTTTTGATACAGGGTCTCCCTGTAGCCCCGGCTGTCCTAGAACTCACTATGTAGACCAGGCTGGCCTCAAACTCTCAAAGATCCGCCTGTCTCTGCCTCCCCAGTGCTGGGATTAAAGGCGTTCGCCACCATTCCCAGCCTTTAAAAAATAATTTTAAAAGCAAAGTAAAATAGAAACCCAAAAAGTTTTTTTTAGAAATTCAGTATGGTGTTGCACCTGTGATCCCAGCACTTTGGAGATGGAGGCAAGAGGATCTTACGATCCTCAAAGTTCAAAGTTATTCTTGGCTACATAATGAATTTGAAGCTAGCCTTGTCTACATGAGACCCTGTCACCAGAAGGAGGGAGCAGTAAGATGGCTTGTCAGGGTAAAGCCAATGCTGTCAAGCCGGCTAACCTGAGATTAATTCCTAGTACAGAATAGGAGAGAACCGACTCCTGCTAGTTTTCCTCTAACCTTCATGCAGGCACTGTGGCACATGTGCACACCCATATACACACAAAAACACACATACTAAATAAATATACTAAAATATTTTTAAAGTGTAGGGGGTTGTGGGGTTGGGAATTTAGCTCAGTGGTAGAGCACTTGCCTAGCAAGTGTAAGGCCCTGGGTTCGGTCCTCAGCTCAAAAAAAAAAAAAAAGTGTAGGGGGTTGTACCTCAGTTGGAATCCTTGTGTAGGTCCTTGCCTAGTCCTTGAAGTCCTGGGTTCAATTCCTAGCACCACATGAACCAGGCATAATGCTGGCACATGCTCATATTCCTAGCATTAGGGAGGTGGAATCAGGATGATCAAGAGTTCAAGGCCAGCCTCAGCTACATAGTTAAGTTCAAGGCTACCCTGAACTGCATAAGACTCTGTCTCAAAACAAACAGTGGGTTAGAGAGGTAGCTCAATGGTTTAGAGCGCTTGTTGCTCTTGCCAGGGTTCCCAGCAGCCACATGGCAACTCACAACTATCTGTAACTCCATTTTGAGTTCTGATGCCCTCTTCTGGCCTCTGTGGGCATTGCCTACAGTTTTCTTGGTGGCTTCACATGTAACTCCTTTATGAGTCTGTCCAAAGTCCTGTGATTGATCTCAGTTAAGAAACCTGAGGCTTTATTATGAAAGCTGGGCCAGGGTTTTATAGTAGCTTCTCAGGCTGCACAAACAGAAATGGGTTTAGGTGTCTTTAGGACTCACTTCTCCCAGCTCCACACTCATGTCTGTCTCCTACCTGACAACACTGGCTTGGCTTCTGGTGGCAAAATGACAGGTGACATCACCTGTATAAGGAAAGAGAAGGGAAACACCTGTGGGGCACAGTGGGACCTAATTCAGGGACCTGACTGCCACAGGAGCTGGCAGCCTAGGGGAGGTCTTATTTATTTTTGATTTTGAGACAGATGTTGCTGTATAGCCCTGGCTGGCCTAGTACTCACTGCGTAGCCCAGGCTGGCCTCAAACTCATGTCAATCCTCCCACCTCTGCCTGCTGAGTACTCAGATTACAACTTTTGTACCCCCATACCTGTCCTCCTCAGGATGATCCCAGAGCCCTTGGGGGAGTGGGCCTGGTCAGTGGGGAGCCTCCTGGGACACACTTGTGTTTGCTGTTTCAGGTGAAAGTGGAGCCACAGGGATGATTGCCGGCTGCCTGTTCGGGTTGCTGCATGGCCTGGCCCCTGTTCCACAAGGCTTGTACCAGGAGCTGGAGTACAAAGGCAGACTAGAGGATTTGGGCACAGCCCTGCACCGCCTGTCCACAGAGGAGAAGTAAAGTGTTTCTGCCATTTCTCCTCCCAGGGGACCCATAGTGTCCACACTCCATAGCCTCCCCTAGGTGAGGTTGTACATATGCAGTTTCTACACAAAGAATCCATGTCCCATGGGCCATAATTAAATTTTAAATTTCCCCTCCAATTTCAGAATTCTGTTTGCTATATAAAATACATTGTCCTATGAGAATATTTTCCTTACCCTCACTGAAACCTTGTACATTGCTGCCATTGCCTTGGATTTCCTTCACACAAGCCTCCAAATAACACGATGATAAGTAGTCTCCCAGACACTGGTGTAGTTTACTCTGTCCCCACACTAGTGCTGCTTGTTCACTAACTCAGATGCCACTAAATGTAGTGGCTCTCCATTTGAGAACGTCTTTACTCTTCCTACCCCTAGTGTATTGCTACCTGCTACCCCAGCACACTGTGGGGTGGGCCATCTCTCCCCAGCAGCCAAATGTGTTAGTATCTCATACTAGAGATGCCTGGTGGCTTCCAGATGCACCCAAAGCAATGCATTTAACCTCTCTGCCATGATTTCAATCACTGGATCTTCACTGAAATCAGCATCTTTTGGAGCAGCTTCCTGAGACAGCTAGGCAGCAAATGGTTTCCTGTGTTACCTGCATCTTCTCTTGGTCCATGTGTCACACTTGGTGGGTCAGGTCCTTATGGGAGGAGGTCTTTGTCCACGGTGCCCTGTTCTCTAAAGTCTCCCCATTGAGGGGTAGTTGGGAATATGTAGAATGTAGATACATGTTCCTGTTCCAAAACATGGCTCTGGACATAGGTTTTCCTTAGTCAGTGTCTGCTGTGAATTCAATCACTGATGACTGATGCTGTGCTTGGGCAGCACAACTGGGCCTTTCTTGTTGATGGTGTGTTATTTTCACCCAAGGCCTTGTCTTTGGAGAGAGCCAGCACCCTCTGCATTGAGAGGCTCTACCAAAGATGGGACCCAGGGCAGGAAGCACTCACTTGCTGGAATCTGTATGTCCTCTAGGATGCAAACTCTCCACGGGCCTCACCTGTTCTGTGGGCTAGTTAAGATGGGATTCAAGAATGCCTCTCTGTCTAGTTTCCCCTTGGATATGTGTCTACATAGACAGCTGAACAAGCGGCTGTGTACTGTCTTAGCAAAGGCCACTGACACAGGCTCAGGGATGTGTTGGGACTTCCTGGACTTGCCCTGTCTCATATACCTTGTCCTCTTCTTCCTTGTTCTTGGGGAACTTCTGCATCAGTGGAGAAGTGGGCATGTCTTGGGGCATGGGTTTTTTTTAAGAGTACCTGGCTTCTATTTCATAGAGTCATGTGGCAGTAAAATCTGTGGTGCTCTATACTGAGCAGATGTGATGTGATTTGATGTGTGTGTGTGTGTGTGTGTGTGTAGAATCTGTGGTACTCTATACTGAGCAGATGTGATTGTGTGTGTCACACATACACCACATTTCTTAATAACTGAAATAACACACTATTAATTTATTTTTTAATAACTGAAATAACACACTATTTTTTTATTTTGATTTTATGTGTATGATTGTTTGCCTGCATGTATGTAAGTGTACCACATATGTACAGTGCCTGTGGAGATCAGAAGAGGGTGTCAGATTGCTTGGAACTGAAGTTACAGACAGTTGTGAGCTACCGTGTAGATGCTGGAAACTGAACTCACGTCCTCTGCAAGTGCTTTAAACACTGAGCCATCTCTCCAGCTACTAACACACTTTTCCATTAGAAGCAGAGATACAGGCATAGGGAAAGGTGATACAGGCATAGGGGAAGGTCTTGCATGCTGCTGCTCCCAGCCTGGAGCAGTGGATATGGGTAGTTATCTTTCAGGAAAAGCAACCCAGCTGAACTTAAGCAAGCTGGAACTTTCCTTAGACAAATGTAACACAGCAGCTTAGTACTTGAGGCTTAACCTGAAAGTGGCTTTTCCCTTCTCTGGCCTTGGCACATAAAAAAAAGATAGCCCTAAGAAGCAGCATGCAGCAAGTTCAGGATGAAGGCCTGCATGAGCTCCATCTTACTTCACAGGCAGTTTCAGAGAAGTCATAAGAATCAGAAAGTCTATTTACAAACTGATTTTATTTTTTAAATTTTAATTAATGTTTTTTATCTTATGTGTATGTGTGTATTGCCTGCATCTAGGTAAGTGCACCCGTGTCATGCAATGCCTGCGGAAGACAGAAGAGGCTGTCAGATCCCCTGGGACTGGAGTTACGGACAGTTGTTAGCTGCCATGTGGGTGCTGGGATTCGAACCCGGGTCTTCTGCAAGAACAACCAGTGTTCTTAACCACTGAGCCATCTCTCCAGCCTCACAAATTGTTTTTAAATAAGAAAGAATAAGATGAAAGTCATAGCATTGTAGAACATTCCCCTAGTTTCATTTTCCCATGATAGAGAAATGCAAAGTTGAGAAGGAAAAGGAAACCAAAGACGGTAAAGAGATGAACCCTGCATCTACTGTTAGAAATATAACACTGGCTGGCTTTGAGTACAAAAGCAGCATGTAGCCCAGTGTGGTGGAGCACGCCTTTAGTCCCAGCACTTGGGAGGCAGAGGCAGGCGGATCTCTGTGAGTTCAAGGCCAGCCTGGTCTATATAGTGAGTTCCAGGCCAGTTAGGGAGACCTTGTCTCAAAAAGACAAAAACAAAACAAAACAAAACAAAACAACCCCCCCCCCAAAACAGCAGCATGTGCACATGGTTTCAGAATCAGAAGCTGCTGATGGTGGTGTGTAGAAATAGGATCTCCCCAGTCCTCACCAGAGCTCATATACTGGGCCCAGAACACAGGCCACAGGCCATTTCCTATGTACCCTGCCAGAACTTTCTTCTACATCTACAATCAAGGCTGTACATGGCAGTGACTTGTTCATCTGTATTATATGTACATATGTGGTTGCTTTTCACAAATAGGAATTTCAGTATATGGAATGGTTTGCTTTGGACTTTTCTCACTAACATGGCTTCATCTATCTATGTACCTATTTATCTATCTGTAATCTATTCATAGTCCTATATAGCTCTGTGTATCTATGTGAGAATATCTACATAAACACATACTTGCTTACATGATGCTTTCCTTAGACTTTATAATTAGTACTCCATGGTATAAGCATGCTGTAATTTATAGAACTCTTTTTTAAAAAAAAAGATAGGGTCTCACTATGTAGCTAGTGATGGCCTCAAATTCATGATCCTCCTGACTCGCTCAGCCTTCTCAGTGCTGCGATCTCAGGCCTGCAACCACTATGCCTGGTTAACTTTCACATCTCTTGTACAAATACCTTAATTTCTACCAATAGCACAGCGATACCATATTTCATTCTAGGACATTTTTTTCTTTCCTATTTCTGATATTGTGATGCAGCCAATATTCTATTGTCTCATAGTTTAATCAGTGGAGTGTTTCTTTCTTCCTTGAGACATATGAAACAAGTGCAATCTTTTTAAAAATATTATTTATTATTTTTGTATTATTTATGCATATAAGCCTGAATGTATATAGTGCACTTGGGTCATACAATGCCAGCAGAGATCAGAAGAAGGTGTCTGATCCCCTGGAATTAGAGTTACAGATGGTTGTTAGCTGCCATGTAGGTGCCATGTAGGTGCTGGGAACCAAACCTGGGTCCTCTACATCCTCTACATGAGCAGCCAGCTCTCTTAACCAATGAGCCATCTCTACAGCCCCTAAAGTGCAATCTTATTTGTAAAAGTACAAATGAACCTAGATTACTTCTCTCTTCCTAATATTAACTTGCCCACGGAGGCCTGGGGCAGGTTATTGGCCAAGGAACCAGACTTTTTGTGACAGATTGTTGGTCTATGGAAGCTGGTCAGGCTGTGCATGTTGCTTGTTAAAAATCTCCAGATCAGTGCCCCAGGATTCTTGTCTCAGGGACAGTTTGTCCCTCCAGAGTGGTCACGAGGATTCTGATGAAGCAGTTAGGAATCTGTCTATGAGCTGAGAGAAGGGTTGTAGGATGGCAGGCAAAAGCCACTGGCCCTTGCCTAGACTGGTGTGTCAGGACTGAGCCAGGGAGGCCTAATTCCATGGTGTTCATGATTTTTTTGAGGAAAGGACCCCCCCCCCGAAAGAAGCAGTCATAAAAATAAAGTAGTAAATCAAGATATTTAGTGATGACCCACTGTGTGCTAGGAGGCCAAGCAGGTAGTCCTTACCATGTGCTAGGAGGCTGAGCAATAGTAGGAAGAAGCTGTGGCTTTCCAGCCTCACAGTTTCAGGTAAAGTGATAGAATCAGATTGTTCTAGTTTGCTTTTCTGCTGCTGTGATAAACATCATGACCAAAAGCAACTTGGGGAGGAAATGTTTTATTTCAGTTTGCACTTCCTGCATTTCCTGGTCACAATCCATCATCAAGGGAAGTCGAGGCAGGAACTCAAGCCAGGAACCTGGAGGCAGGAACCATCACTGCTTACGGGCTCACTCATTGGCTCATGCTCAACTAGCTTTCCCATACAACCCAGGACCCTGTCCAGGGGTGGCACCACATGCAGTGAGCTGGATCCTCCTACATCAATTACCAATCAAGAAAATGCCCAACAGACCTTTCCACAAAGCAATCTGATAAGGCAATCTCCCAGTTGAGACTCCCTCAGATAACTCTAGGCTATGTCAAACTGAAGCGAACTAGGAGGCAGAAAACACAAGTTCATAGCAAGTATGTTCTGAATGGGGACATGTCCCCCTGTTGGGCATACACCATCCTGGTATGTATGTCTTAGTTGAGCTACAAAAGGAGACAAGGTACAGGCAAATAGGAAGATGGGGACAGTGACTAGAGGTAGCTTTAGTCCCCACGGAGCAGCCTGGATATGTCCTGAGATGATTGTCCAGTCTCTCTCTAACCTAGATGACCTTGTCTGCCTGCTGCTGATGCCTAAATTAGGAAGGTTTATGGGTTCCCTGTTTGTGTTGGCCTTGGAAAGGTAGATTCTGGTCTCAGGCTCTAAAGTTCGTCCAAGGGCCTAAGGGCCACAGAGGATGGGCTCAGTTACATCTACACTCTGCTACTGGGCAAGATATAACCCATACAAGCAGCACAAGATCCCCACAAGCCCTCCTGGTACTCCAGTATAGGGTGTGTTCATGCAATGAGGATTCTGGGGTGTTCTGGCATAGGTTAGGCCAGAGATGCCAGGCAGCTC